CTTTACCACAGCACATGGAGTAGGCAAAGGTTAAAGAAGTAAGGGCACAATCCTATACAGGTTTAGACAGAGCCCCGCTGAACTTAGCAGAGCTTAATTCTGGGGATGCGTGCATGGAATAGGTTTGCAAGCTTCTTTTGCTGTGGGTGTGAGGGGCAGGTACATTTCATGCATCTAATGTAGTAGACCCAGTTTCATGAAGGATTATACTGTAATAAATGTGTCTTTAAAATGCCAAAAGATTTTGGGTTGTTCTTGCAACAGTTCTGTTGCAGAACCTGAACTATATCCAATTGCGGTGGAGTTGTTCAATTCTGTGCAACACTGACTTTTTAATAAGAAGGAGCTGGAAGCAGAACATGATGGTGGCAATGGATTGCAGAAAAGCCTCGCTGTACTTTCGCTGCCCAGTGTTCTCTGCCAAAATTGCAGCGGCACGGCAAGCATCAGCTGGGAGCTGTTTGATTCTCTCACCCACGCAGAGGCTCAGAGTAACCAAGGTGTCGGCAAGAGCAGAGCAGCTATTTGCAAAGCCTCCTCTCTGCTTCTTGCATTGCCCAGAAAATATTTCAAGTGCTGCATAAGGAAGGCAGAATTACAGGCCACTTGCCTGTATTCGCACATGGTTAAAGAGAATCAGAGTAACAGAAAATTACAGAAGACAAGAAACGTGTAAGAAGAGCCCTGCTGGATGAGCCCAAAGGCCCATCCTGGTTCAACCAGATGCTTTTTGTTCATGTCCTCCAGAAACTGTTTCTCAGGGGCTTGTTGCCTCCAATCCTGAAAGATATACGTAGCCATCATTCTTTGTAGCTTTACTAGCTTTACCCTCCATGAAATTGCATAATTCTAAAGTGTTCTGAATTCATACTCATTACCTCATCTTGATGAAACCAGTTCCACAGTTTACTGCAGTTTCTTGAAAATATGAACAGGAGGATGTGATCACCCACGTGACCTGGGGACGGAATGCTGGACTGAATAGGCCTTTGGTCTAAATCCAGTAGGGCTTTCCTTACATCCCCATGATGCAAGTTATAAATCAACTGCATCCGTAAGACCACAAATTGCCCAACTTGTCAATCAGGCTTTATCCGGCCAACGTTAGACAATAGAAAGAAATGAAAGTCTTCTGTCTAGTTCTCCCCAGGATCAGGGATGCAACACTGGTTCAGAAACACATCACTTTTTTGACTGCCAGGATTAAAAGGATCATCTGTGTCATATATGGCCAGATTAGGCTCAACATTTGATTAATTAAGGGGCAATCCAAAAAACCAAATCAATAACCAGAAAACGGCCAAAGGCAGTTTTACCAGGCCAGAGGGAAAGTTCCAGAAGAGAGGCCTCATGAACAGCCATGTCCCAAACTCAGATGAGATACAGAGTACAAAAGGTAGAGTCAAGCAGGATTTCAAGGTCAGTAACCCAAAGGTTCAGTCACAGAGCAAGAGCAGAACAACATGAGGACTGGTACAGGTAAAGACACTGTTCCCAGCAATGACTAGGTTGATACTGAGAGTCTGTATTGCTAGAACACCCTTTCCCTGGAGAAGGGCCTTAGATGTAGCATACGCCAAATTCATGCTGAGAGAGCCACTCAGACTAGTGTTCTGGTGCCAAGTGATGTAAGGCTTTATAGATTGAAATCAGCACCTTGAACTGGTCTTGGAAACATACAGGGAGACAGTCCCAGTGGTCCAGTCCTTCTTAAGACCAGTTAACAATTCAGCTGCCACATTTGCATGAGCTGCAGTTTCTGAACTGCATTCAAGGCCATCCTTCAGACAGCACATTGCAATAGTTTCGCTTGGGGATTACCAGAGCACAGACAACCGAAGCCAGGTTATTCCTGTCCAAACAGGGGTGTAGCTGAGCCACCAACTAAATATGGCATGTGTGCCACTTATGCCACCTGAGCTTCAAACAATGAGGATGGCTCCAAGCTATAAACCTGCTCCTCCAATGTGCAACCACATTCAGAACAGATTAAGCATATTCTTTCTGATCAGAAGAACCTCTCACTCTTATCTGGGTTGTGTTTCAGTTTACTAGCTCTCATCCCCTTCATTGTCACAGACAGGCACTGATCTAGCACATTCAGAGCCCCACTGGTGAAAAGAAGAAGCAGAGCCGTGTGTCACCAATGCACTAATGGGAACACACTTCAGAATGACCACACTCAGCATGACAGACAGACTTACAGCAGCTTTTCCCTTCTGCGAGGGCTGGAGACCCACTAAGATGCTCTGCCTCTGGAGGCTAATGGGTGTGGATAGCTCTTAAAGGGCTCTGCAGATGCTTCTGGCTGCAGTGGCGGCACGCCTGACAAAACCCTGGTTGATCTGTGGAACATAGAAATGATCTGGATGGTTGGCACAGACTCCTGAGTGCTCTCTCCAGAGTGGAGTTTGCACTGCTCGATGGGATGCTCCTGAGCAGGGAGCAATGAAGCAAAATAGGAGACAGCTGGAGAGCAGATGCAGAAAAACCCCTGGTGGAGGCAATGGAGCAATGGTCTGTCTCTGTGGCCGTGTGCATGTAGGGCAGGGAGGGTGGCAAAGAAGCAGCATCTATTGAATCCTCCATGTGCAGCTAGGCAGAACTCTGCAGGGTCATTAGGGGCCTATCATTGCTGGCTCTACGGACGCTGCGGATCCCTGTGAGGCCTGGTATATTTGCTAGACGCTTCCAGTATGAACTTGCTTGCATCTGCCAGGACCCAGTTTTCAGTGTTAGAGCAAGTGAATCATATGAGGTATCCAGATGAGGTATCAGCCTTGTCCAGTTTTGTTGAGTGAGTTTCAGCTGGTACAGCTCAATGATATAGGCAAAGTACTTGGAGAGTCCATAAAACTGCTTCCATGCTGGATCCTTGTCCCCCTGCCTTTTAAAAATCAGCAGAGAGATGACAACCAGCTGGGTCACCCAGGCATAGAAACAGAGTGAGTCAGAAGGGGTCTCCTGGGCCATCTAGTCTGATCCCCGGCTCTCCAGCCGGCTGAGAGAGAGAGAGAATCTGCATGAAAGGAACAGCGGTGAGACTACTCCTGAAGATACCCTCCCTGGATCTGGAAAATCTTAGAAAGTTTAGACCAGTGAAAAATATTCCTTTTCTGTGCAAGGACTTCAAGCAGGTGCTTGCCAATCACCTCCAGACATTTCTGGATGAGACCAATTACCTCGATACTTTCCATTCAGGGTTCAGGCTGGGTTTTGGCACAGAAACAGCCTTGGTTGCCCTATGTGATGCTCTACATTCAGGAGAGATTGAGGAGGGGCCGTGGCTGTCCTTATTGCTTCTCCTCGTTTCCTCAGTGAGAAAGGGCTAGTCCTTCATATTGCACTTATGGGCCTTGCAGGATTTATCTTGTCAGCCACTTCAGGAAGAGGCCACTGTATCAGAAAGGCTTTTGGTCTAAGCCAGCAAGACTTTTCTTGCATGTTTGCCTTCTCCTGTTCCTATGTTCACCTCTAACACACAACTTCCAGCAGCAAGGGTTCTGCAATCAGGGCTAACAGGAACGCCGATGTTATAATAATAATAATAATAATAATAATAATAATAATAATAATAATAATAATATTCTGCCATCCCTCTCTGAATTCCCTGTGCCCTCTGAGTTTAGCTATCTCCCCACTTCCCCCTTTTCTCTCTTTCTCCCCACTTTCTATCCCTTATCTTCCTCCTCTTTCTCTTTCCCTTTCCCTCCCTCTTCTCCTTCTCTTCTCCTCTTTCTCCTCCATCACTTACACAGAGATCTGCGGAAACGGGAATGTTTTCTAGGGATAATTGCCAGACAGGATTAGGGCCAAGGAGGGAGGCCATAGGCTGGTTTGACAAGCTTTGGTGTTTCCCCAGCCTTGACACAGAAGGAACAGACTTAGTTCAAGAAAAGCATGAGTGGGTTCTGGGTACTCATTAATATAAACAGATCTTTCCAGCAGTTATTTTTATATTTCCCTAATGTGTTGATTGGCAAGAGGTAATTTGGTTTTTTTAGTGCCTTTTTATTTGAAAGTCAGTACTTTTATCAGGTGCAAGTTCAACTCAGCAGAGTGTAGTGTCATGAAGAGAACAGGGCGCAATTGACACAAGAGCAGCTCCTCTAGTTATTTGACTTTCAAAGATTTGAAGATTTGGGGGGCAACAGAAGGACTTGTCAAGCTGTGTTTCCATCATATTACACATTTATGAATCCCACTCCTGTTATCGAAAGTTTGAAGGTAAAACCACAGGATGTAGGATCATGTTTCTAATGAGATCAGAAGTTGGCTATGGCCCAGGGACAGGTGAAAAGAGATATTTTGCCTTGGAAACCTCAAGTGCCTTCAATAATCCGGAGAGTTATTATCCCATTTCTTCATCACCTCCAAACTGCTATTCCCTGGCTCTCTGCCCTAAAGCTGCAGAGTGTGATAAAAACTCTGGACTGCATATCCCCACCCCCACCCCCATTAGTGCGATGATGGCATTGCAGAGGATATAACACGAATCCTTTGGGAAAGCTTTAGGAGAAGGACTGAAATACTACACAGATGGAGAAGGAAATGCCTTCTGCCCAAAGTGTCAGATTGAGAGTATTTACAGATCTCTTATCAATTCACAAAGATCCTATCACATCACTACCAGTATAGTGAACACGCTTTGCTCTCAAACAAGGACTCCTTTTTAATATAGGAAGCAGCCTTATGCTGGGTCATTCAATTTGCCATTTTAAGTCTTTTTTGTACTTTACACAGTTGGGTATCCCCTGAGTATGAAGAAGCTATTACTTTGTTTTGGGTGTCCCCTCTTTGTTTCCAAACAGAGGCACACAATCATCCGAGTTCAGTATTAGAAGGGATGATTACAATGAGTATTATTTCTATTGCTAATAATGCATGCTTTTACTGCAATAACTTCAGTATGAATAGGTCAGATTACCTTTTGCTTTGGAGAACTGATCCAGATAATGGAAACACTTCTACATACATTAAAAACACATTTTAAGCCTTACCTTTCCAGAAGCAGTCATAGAAAGGGCCAACTGATACCAAAGGTGAAATTCACCAAAGGCAAGCTTCATGGCTCGCTCCAAACACTGGAGGAAGAAACATATTAATGCTGTTTATATGTATGCATACATGTAAACAACCATTTCTTGCAGTTTCATAATTCTTGTGAATTTAATTTCCAAAAGAAAGCCCTCAATACAGTAAATCCTTTTGTGTTCGTGGTGTTTTAAGCATGCACTAAAATGTCTGTTTGGGATGGTTCAAGCCTTTGGTACAGAAGAGGCAGCCAGATCCTGTAGGATCAAGACATATTGACTGATTTGGTTAACCGGTAGCAGGACTTTCAGCCCAGTCCTACTTAGAACTAAGCCCTGCTGTTTTCCCTTGGATCTATGCCCTAGCACCTTTATAATCCTATACACATCTATTCAGAAGTAAGTACTACCCCCGTAAAACAGCCCAATAAGGACTAAGCATCCTTACTAGCTATAAAACAATAAATGTCAGTTGCAAAAGAAGGAGGAACAGAAAAGGGGGCGGTGATGGGAATGGAATGGAATGGAATGGAATGGAATGGAATGGAATGGAATGGAATGGAATATCCTGGAGGGGAGCATGGCTGGCTGGGACCCTCAACAGGAATACTCCTGCTGGGAGATGAGGATACGCTGCAACAATTTGTTGCCGGGCTCACTTTTCTGAGACAATGACTATTAGCTCTCTGGCAGTACATTTTATGAGGCATGCATAATTCTTATGTCACTGCAGTGGTGTGGAACAATGCCATCCTGCAGCCTAAGAAGATAGGCATCTCTGGAGTCATGGATATTGCATATGGCCCAGGCTGAACATGTACCCCAGTAAATGTCTCGTTTGGATGCATTGCCATTTGGCTACCCTTCAATAAGTAAAAACAAGCTAATGTGTGCTTGAAAGAATTTTGAATGAGCCTCACTTTCAAAAAAAAAAAAAGAAGAAGAAGAAGAAGCAGGGGGAAAGAAAACACAGAAGAGCGAAGATCAGATACCTCGGAAAGCATGGTATACTGCCCTCTTCTGCCCAGCGTGATGCTCAGAAGATCATAAACTGCTGACGCGTCCTGGAGACTGATGGCTCGATCATCTTTCTGGTCAGGGGCACGGCTAATTACAGCATCTTGGTTTGCCTGATGGTTATTTCAGAATAAGAAAAGAGGTCAGGTCCAGGGCTAAGCACACCTCAGCAAGGTTTTCACCCATGTTCCATGGCATGTCAAAGCAAGCTCTATACTAGCCCTGTTTTCAACTGCAGGAGGCTAACTCAGAAAGGCAGAATGCATTGATAGCAACACTGGGAGAGGATTCCTTCAAATTATCTCTCAGAACCTTCAAATGAGAGACAGTAAAGACCTACAGGGTCGGAGCTCTCAAAAACCTGGGGCAACACTGAATTGTGAGCCCAATTATTTCAGCAGCCTGCAACTCTTACTATAGCAACTGTTTAAAATAAAAACAAACAATGCTATGTTTTAATTATGCCAGTTTAATTCCATGTTTGCCCATGGCTTGAAAAATGTGGGCCTACAACAAGAATTATAACATCGCTTTTGTATTTTTATGCTGTTCTTTAAACTGTCTCTAAATATTGGGCACGTTTGCATATAACTGCACCCCATCATGTTTGTGTTTGACGGGATAAATAATAAGCATTGTTTTAGTGTGTGTTTCTTCATTTCTACTCATTCAATCAATTGCTCGACTGCAAGCAGTTCCAAAAGGGACAGCCAGGGTTGAATGAAACTAAAGAAGAAACCGGCAGGATCAACTCAAAGGGCTCGAGATCAACCCAGTCTGCCCTCCAGTTTCCTGCACCAGCCAACCAGAGGTCTTTGGGAGACCGAGAGCCAGAATATGAGGGCAACAACACTCTCTTGCTTTTCTTTCCTAGATGCCTGTAGTGACAGCATCTACAGCCATAGATAACTTTATCCACCCCAAATTTGTCTATTACCCTTTTAAAGCCATCTAAGCTATTTACCATCACCATGTCTTGTACTCCAACTAAGCAGTACAAAGCAGTATAATATAGTAGATGAGACTGCCTGGTGCAGTTTGGGGAGACCTAATCCCAACCCAGGAGACTCTGAGCCAGTTATTTTCCCATAGCCTCACCTACCCACAGGGTTCTGTGAGAGTTTATTGATTTATTACCATTCTATACTGCTTAACAGCCAAAACTCTCTGAGAGGTCCTCAATAGCATCACAGCAAACCATAAAGCATCACAACATGAGCCGCCCCGAGGCTTTGTTGCGATGGGGGTGGCATAAAAATGTTTTAAATAACAACAACAACAACAACAACATGATAAAACATCATATAAAACCTATACTGCAGTTGTAAAGCTTTTTAAATGCAAAATAAAGTGGAAATCTAGAAATCCTACAACACAATTAAAAAACAACAAAAACAGGAGGATTAAAATGCCTTGGAGAGTAAAAAGGTCTTTGCCACAGGCTGGAAAGACCATAAGGCAGGTGGCTAAGCAATTGTTTCTGGGGAAGGCTTCTTGCTGCCAGGGAATCATGGCTAAAAGGGCACTCTCTCTAGCAGTCCTCCATATCACTAAATATGGCAGGCACACCAACAGGAGATGAAAGGGGGCAACTTCTCTGTAGGCCACTCAGCTCCTTGGGAGAATGATAGGCTGTCAATGGGATTAAATAAATGTACTTCACTCACTTCTTCCCCCATGAAAAGACCAAGCATTTGAATTCTTGGCATAACAGGAGTCCTTGTAGTCTAAAGAACAGGCCTCAGTCACCCCCCCCCTCTTCAGTTTTGGTGTGCAGGGAGACAGGGCAGCCTTCCCAGATCTGGTGCTCTTCAGAGGCATTTGACTACAACTCCCATCCTCTTCAGCACTAGGACAGGGATAGCAAACTAGACCAAATGACTCTCCACAACTGCTCTCAGGGTTCATCTCCTCAAAAGTTGCTATAATGTGACACCAGTGTCACAGCTACATAAATTTTATTGCTACTCAGACTAGGGAAGCTATGTTTCCTATCGCAGTTGTGCTTCTGGAACTTTTATATCAGCTCATGAGTCATATGTTGGCTATAATCATGCTTTTCCAAATCTTCCTTGGGAAAATGATAAGGAACTGACAGGATTAAATCATTGTTTTTCGCACACTTCTTCCCCCAGGAAAGCACCATTTTCATGTTCCACTGACAAGGCCTGGCTTCAGTGCCGGCCATCCTCAGGCCGTTGCTGCGGACCCAGGATCTTGTCCCAGCCCCCCACTGGCCTAAGACTTCGTATCCAAGCCTCTTTGCCTGGCATGCTCATCCAGTGAAGGCCAGGCAGCGGGCCAAAGGAGTGGCCATTTAAATTTCCCCAGTGACCCTCTCACACAGCCTCATCCCAGGTCACTGTGGGGACAAGTGGAGTCCCCCAGGGCTCAGTTCTGGAACTGATTCTGTTCAACCTTTTCATCAATGGTCTCATAACCAGGGATAACCAATCTGCTAACTAAATTCATGGACAATACCAAAGTGGGAGCAGTGGCCAGAACTGAGGAGCAGGTGATCCAGATCTAGAAGGATCTGGACAGGCTGTGGAAGTGGGTGGGGGGCAACAGGATGGCACTCAATGTGGATCAGTGCAAGGTGTTGCCCTTGGGACACAGGAATAGGTGTCACAGGTACAGGATGGGGGACAAGCGGCTGGAGAGCAGCACTGGTGGAAGGGATCTTGGGGAACTTGTCGACAGCAGGCTGAAGGTGAGCCAGCAGTGTGATGTGGCAGTTAAGAAGGTAAACGCCACCCTTGGATGCATAGCCAGAAGCCTGGCTTCCAGCTCTAGGGAGGTGTTGATACCACTCAACGCGACTCTGGTGTGCCCACAACTGGAGTACTGCATCCATTTCTTCTCCCCAGTACTCATTTTTGCCTTAGTGTACACGCAGGTGCCCTGATCTGGATTGGGACACCAGAACGGGGGTTGATGGACTATTAAAAGTGCCACTGGTTGTAAGTTTTATCGGAGTGCTCAGAACCAACAGTAATACTGGCATAATTAAATCTTGCTCTAATCCAAAGTATCAGTCTTTTGGGAACTGCTGGTAGAAAAGAGTAACTTCTGAAATAAACCTGAGGTCCAGAGCAATCACACATTCAGAAGATTATCTTTAAGCACCCTTTGGGCTACTTGGATGATTTCTTTTTAATGTGATAGGAAAAGGCAAATTAGTCATTCTTCCTCTTCTGCTAGCTTCCAGCTCTCATGCAAAGGATGGGGAGGGGAGGGGAAGGGAGGGAAGAAAGAATATTCTGTCCCCACATTGGGAGATCAAATTTCTTCCACGTGTATTTATCACACTGATATCCCACCTTTTCTTCAAGGAGCTTAGAGCGGTATGCAGGTATGCACGGTTTAACCTGCCCTGTATTATCCTCAGAACCTATCCTGTGAGGTGGGTCAGACTGGCAGAGGATGAGAACATCGCTGGTTCAGTCACCCTGTGAGCATCATGGTAGAGGTGAGATCCAGACTTGGGTCTCTCCAGTCCCAGTCCAACACTCTAACCATTAGACCACACCAGGTCTCAGATGCAGGTCTGAGACTCCACCATGCAAGTCTCAGAAGAAGCAGGAGAGGAAGCAGACATTGGGCACGTCTTCCTCACTACTGCTTCCTTCCAAAAGCCATTCTTTGACACAGCAGCAACGTGAGTTAAGGGATACTAAATAAACATATACATTAATCGGGATGAGTTTGCCTGTGCGCGCACACACGCTCACAAATGGATTCCAAAAGCCGCTTGAACTCAACCAAGAAAGATCCAAAGAGCAGAAAATAAAACCGATTCAAAGCCAGCCAATGCCCTCTTGCATCTAAACAGGTTCCCAGAGCTGTGGCTAACCGTGGATTCTTTGCTGTTTATGCCCTAATACAACAGAAACCCAGAAAGGTTGGGAGGCAAAAGCTGTTTTTAGAAATGGTTCTTTGATGCACCATAATCAACAGTGCTTCTTTGTCATGGGGTGTTTCTTAAAAACAGAAATGAAAAAATGCACTGGGGAAGGCAGACGTTTATAGAAGAATATGCATAAAAATCCTCATTTGTGAATTAAATCTTTCCACATTCTATACCATGCTATTAAAAAGTTTCTGCATCAGTGACTCTGCTGCGCCATTGACTTGTGAAAAATAGCTGCACTGAGCAAGCTCCCACATATTCTGAAAGCCAGTAATCAGCTTCACATCAGAGTCAGCTATTTTGAGCATTTGTCTGTGGGCCAAACTAGGAATTTTTAAGCAGTGCCTTAGCACAGCTGAAATACTCACCCAAACTAGTACATAATCACAAGCTTCGAGGTTACACCTCCTGCCATTTTTTAAAGATATATGTAACTGCATTTAGCCTTTTTGTTGTTGTTCAGTCGCAAAGTCCTGCCTGACTTTTCGCGACCCATGGACCATCCCACGCCAGGCCCTCCCTCCTCCACGGTTTCCCGGAGTTCACCCAAATTCATGTTCATTGCATCAGTGACACTATCTAACCATCTCATCCTCTGCCATCCCTTTTCCTTCTGCCTTCAATCGTTCCCAGCATCAGGGTCTTCTCCAGTGAGTCCTTCCTTCTCATTAGGTAGCCAAAGTATCTGAGCTTCAGCTTCAGTATCTGTCCTTCTAAAGAACAGTCAGGGTTGATTTCCTTTAGGATTGACTGATTTTAGCCTTTTAGCACACCTCTAAAGGAGAAGTGCTGCCCATATATTCCAGACACAGACAATGGTATCCGACCTCGCAGAGCAACCATTGTGTCCCAAGCTCAACCTCACACCTATCTGGCTCAAATGACAACTGGGGTCATTGGGACGCCTGCCTTCTTCATCCTTTGGTTCTACTTGCCTTTGTAGAACAATACTCTTGGGATGGGGGCGCTTTGTTCGGTGGTCACTCTTCCTTCCTGTGTTCTACCTGAGCAGTCAGGTGCTCACCCTGAGCGCATGGCTTTCTAGAGAAAATTAAGTATTAAGCTTTCCTGTCCAAATGTACCGTTCATAATAAATGTTTGCAGGCTTCTGCATCCACTAAGCCAAAACCTCTGCCTGAGTCATTGTCCCCAGAAACTGGGACAGCAAATGTGGAATTAAAGCTCTACAGGGAGATTCCA